GCGTCACCGCGCGTCACTCCCGGAATGGGCAAAGTGGGCAAAGAGGCGGGAGCTGGTTGTTGAAACCACGCCCACCTAGCTCGACGCCGGTGACAATCCACCTGACTTTAAGGCTTAATATAATTTAAACGGATGAGCTATAAAAAAATTCACCCCCCCTCACAGTTGTCATGAAGGGCAAAATTAGCTATATAGACCAAAATCATTTTTTGAACCAGGCTGTAAACGTTTTTTTCTGCTGTAAAGTTAGGCATTTTAACATGGGGAGTCTATGGGATTGACTCCCTTTTGCAGCCAGCCTCTAGCGGCCAGTTGATGAATTACAGTTTAAATCACTTCCTTGTTGGCTTCACGAGAGAGAGCATCTCTCGCGATCCACGCGCAGCTGAGCCACAGAAAATCAGCGACCAGCCCCAGTCACATGTGTGCATTCCATTGAGTAAGGTTTCATGAATGTTACATTGTGTTTTCTTTGTTTCTTTTTGGTTTGGCTATTCTCCTCTGCCTGTAGAAATAATAAAGATGCTTTATTGAACTTGTTCTAATTTAACTTGTCTTAAGACACAGAATAGCTTATATTAATTTTGCCAAACAAGAACTTCGTGACGATACCTTGTTTTTTTTTCTTTTTTGTAATTCAACGGCACTTGAGTTCAACGCGAAAAGACCAAGAAGTGGGCGGGGAATATGCTAATGTTTCATGTTGACGTCAGCATGAAACTGCTTGGGATTCGTTTTAAAAAAACGACTCGTTTCAATGATTCAGAGTCGACTCTTTCTTTTGAGAGACAATAACTTTATACACGGTGCTCTTTCAGATTTAAAACTTTGCAGGATGTTTTCATTCACTTAGAGCTGTGTTACACACTGCATGAAAGGCAATTCTCAAAAATCCATAACAGGGTCACTTTAAGGAGATAGTTAAGCCCAACAGTTTCAATCAGTAACTTAAATTGTAGTCTGTTCCTCACACAAAGCTATTCTTTGACTTCCGAAAGCTATATGGCTCACATGTTTTATGTACTACTTTTATGGTATACTTTTTAATATAAAAAGAGCAGTGTGAACATTCTTCAGAAAACCCTTTGTGCGTCACACAGGAAAGTCAGTCATATGGGTTTGTAAGTACGAGAGGGAGAGTAAATGACAGAATTTTCATTTTTGAGTGAAATGTGACATACATACATTTGTCACAAATGGTATTGTGCTTCAAAAGGGTCTGGCTGCAGACTTGCACTTGCACTCTCAGACACTTGCACTTCCGCTAGCGACGTCACTTGCAGTCTTTATTTTTTTATTTTGTTCTATTTATTTATTCTTTTTGTTTGAATCTCAACATTTTACAACAGTAGCCAGGTGGTGAAGACAAGACAAAAGAAACTAAATTATGAAGTCACTTGCAATCGCATGTCTTAATTCATTTCCTTGCTTTAGTGAAATCTTCACCATGTACTAATTTGTTACCTTGTTGTGGCAATGATTTAAATAAAAATGAGGGTACGAGTATACAATTGAATTAAAACGAGGGAACAAATTAATGAACCACAGCCACAAACTTGAGAACGATATCTATTATTCTTCCACGTCATAATAGACTAGTGAAACTAGTGTGTAAAATCATTGTTCAGTTCTCGCTTTTAATTAAATGTTAAGAATTTACACAAGAAACGTACAGATTCTTTCTGCATGCGTTTCAGAAATTAGGACCAGCGTGATGTAAACGTGTCATTTTATAGAACGGTTTAAAAAGTCTGTGACTTTAAATATGTACGTTTTCTTTCCAAGGCCACGAACTGAATCCAGAGCATCCAGAGCAAACACAAGCAATGGCAAGTCATGCACAGCACATATATAGTATGTACATGATTCATAAACATGACAAAGATGTCCTGATGTACTGCATACGGTGTGAGGCTGTGAGCTCAGTATGTCAGTGGTGAGATGAAGGATGGCTCCTCGTGTCCTTTATGTACCACTCTGGTAAGAAGGTATACTGAGAGTCTCTGTGGACGGTGAAGGTCACGTCTCTGTGTGGATCCCATGTGAACAGGTACACCAGTCTGAAAAACAGACCAGTCACAATCTCTGATAAGATGGTCGATGTTAAAGTTGCTCCATTTTACTCGTCATATTTCCAAGTGAAACAATATTTAACAAAAAATCGGGGAATGATTTGATTGTGGCAAGTATGTGTTAAATGGCAAACAACAAATGTTCTTATTTCACAACATGCACTGATGAAATGTTCAAAACTAGACCTTGAAAATGTACGTGAAGAGGGACTATTCATGCAACCGTCTTACCTAGGGTCGTCCTCTTTGACGACTGATTTGACGAAGGACAAGAAATCGTTGCAGAAATTCATACAGACTGTTGGCTTCCAGCAGTTATACTCATTCTACAGAATTAAGAGACATTAAACTTAATCTCACTTCATCATTCCACAGTCTCTCTATAATGACATCCAACATAGACGCTAGTGAATAAAGCAATCTCAGAATGCACTGATTACAAGATTTCAATTCCATTCACCATGATTGAACTATTTCTATCAATCTAATTCCAAACTGACTACTTTATGCAATCACTCTATGTGCAATGTATTTTTATAAACTACTTTATTTTTTAGACATTAACACTTTCATTCAGCAATGACGCATTAAACTGATCAAACGTGACAGAAATGATATCTATAATGCTACGAAATATTTCCATTTCGATCAAAACTATATCAGTTTACACACACTATAAAGCAGCACAGCTCTTTTCGACACAGATAATTAAGAAATGTTTCTTGAGCAGCGAATCGGCTTATCAGAATGATTTCTGAAGGATCATGTGACACTGAAGACTGGAGTAATGATGCTGGAAATACAGCTTTGTCATCACAGGAATAAATTACAATTAAAATATGTTACAATAGAAAACGGCTATTTTGAATTATAATAATATTTCACAATATTACTGTATTTCTGATCAAATATGCAGTTGTAGTGAGCATTAGAGACTTAATTAATACTCCAACTCTTACATTTCCATTTAAAATGAATGGCTTTCGATCACTGTCAGTGTAAACACCAGCTCTGTAGGGTTTGAAACAGAGCTCTTATTTCAGATTTAACCAACCGGCACTGAAGCTTTAATGTGTGGTTATTAAAAACGAACCTTGATGAGTTGTGAAATTTTCGAGGTTTGGAAGGTCTCAACAGACACCACTATCCCATCATGGTCTCGAAACCCAGCGACTATCTGTGGCACTCCAGGAAGAAACGACTGCGCCCACCATTTCAGCAGCTTGTTCCTACAAGAGGAACATACATACATGTTTTTAAGAGGCTTAAATAACGCCCCATAAATTGATTCAATTATTGAGGAAATATAGTGCTTAATATTCTTTGACACATGAAGAAATTAGCATTTGAATGACATGAGGCGGCAAACTTTTTTGGAGAACTATGCCTTGATGTCCTGTTTACACCAAGATGAATGTTCAATGTAATAAAAAATTTAATATAAATGAATGACTGTTAATGGGATGGTTCACTAAAAAAAAAAAAAATGTAAAATCCATCATCATTTACTCATCCTCAAGTTGTTCCAAACATGTTTCTTTCTTCTGCTGAGCACAAAAAAATATATTTTGAAGAACATTTGTAATCAAACAGTTGACGGCAGCCATTGACTTCCATAGTATGGAAACAAATACTATGGAAGTCAATGGCTACCGTCAGATGTTGGTGGTAAACAGTTCCCTTGAATACATACAGAATTATGTTGAGACCGACACAAACGTTTGCATGGATTCAATGTGACAGATTTTTTGGTGGAGAGGAAATTTGTGCTTTTGGTCACATGGCCAGAGCCTCGGCTGTCACTCACAAACAGACTAATTTGCTAAGTCACAGTGAACAGCGGAGAAAGAGTCTAGTTGTGCAATGCAGTGCTCTGTGTACCGCGGTAACCGCTGCATTTCTGCTATTTTAAGTGCACTGCATTTTCTTTCAACCAGTGTTTTCCTGAAAATCAGACCAACTTTTTGTGCCGAACATTCGTGTTGGTGTGAACAGGCCGTAAAGAGATAGTTCACCCAAAAATGAAAATTCTGTCATTAATTACTCACCCTCATGTCGTTCCAAACCTGTAAGACCTTCGTTCATC